TCAGTAGATCCCTTTCTCTCTCCCCAGTGAATGGGAAGATGGAGCAATCTTTAGAAGCTGTTCAGCTCTATTTGAAGCTCCTAGACAGCCAAGTCAGGGAGGAGTTCAGGAGACTGCTGTACTTCATGGCTGTTGCAGCACATCAGTCTGAGCTCAAGCTACAGAAGGAGGTAAATCTGCATTCTTAACAGCTGTTTTACTCTTTCTGAAATCCAGAGGTCCCCGGTACTGGTCAGAAAACACCTCTGTGGTTTAAATTTGTGACTACAGGAAAAACAATGTCTCGGAAGAACAAAGGTGATGCCCTTCTCAATGGGGGAGACTAACTCTCCTCTTCTGGTCATTATATCCCTTTGTTCTACAGAGTGACAACAGGATGGTTGTGAAAAGGACATTCTCTAAGGCTATTATCAACAATAAAAACCTATCCAGAGGGAAAACTGACCTCCTGATCTTGTTCCTTGTGGACAACCAGAGAGATGTGTTAAAGGTAAGGGCTAGAAAAGGGGCAAGGCTTTGTTTATCTGGTCTGCTGGTGAAGAGCTGCCTTCTCTAAGATGCTGTTGCATTGTTGTTATGGTTTGACATTGGCACAATGCTAGTGCCTCTATGAAAATGTAACTTTTTTATTGAATGTTGTGAAGTGGAATTGAGAACAGAGTAAAGTAGGCTTAACAGGAAAAAAAAAATTTATTCAGTTACTATTATAAAAGGAAAAAAAAGAAAGGAAAAAGGAAAAAAAAAACACATAAAGATTAAAATGGAAATTTTGTAAAAGCATTCTTCTTTCTGCTTAACTTTAATAAACTATAGTGAGACACGATCTGGACTTTAATTAGCTTTTTATTTTTTAGATAATTGATATTCAGCCTTTCGAGGGAACAGAGTTTATTTTGTGTTATAGACCTTTTAAGAAAACACAGTTCTATATTTTGTGTTTCTATGTTACACATGGCACTGCCCGGAGAAAAGTTTGCTATGGTGACTCTTTTTTTTATGTACAGTGCTTTTATTATTAATGTATGGATGGACAGATTGCTTTTAGGATTTTTTTTTTTTTAAGGAAGCCCTGCCAAGAGGGGAGAAAACAACAGTTTAGTTTTTTTATTGTTTGGGATTACAGTTCTCCTTATTTTTTTT